ATATATACTAATGAGAGATGATAGAGGGAGAGGAGACATTATTAATAAAATGAATATGTGCATGGCTCATTGAGGTTTATAAATAAATTTAACAAAAATTATAAAAATTTTCTATTCTTAATTCAATTTAAATTTAGTATAAAACAATAAAAATCTACATAAAATTAATTAATGATTCCCATCTTACATCTAATTCGTTAAATTATTTTTTAATCCCCTGAAAATTTTTTGGCATATACATATACAGTAGACAGCTCATTAAATTTTTAATCTAATTTTAACCCAATTAATTACCGGATTACACTCATCAGTGGTACATTAGACACATTACATTATGTCCTTACTCCAGTGTGTAGGGTCCTCACTCCTTTATTTAATAAATGAGATAGTCTGGAAGTCAAGAGCTGACTCTTTGATGGTGTTCTACTAAGAGATGAAGAGAGGGAGAGAAGCTTTCTACAAGTACACTGGACAAGGAACGCCATTACAAACCACGTGTCTACTCCGTATACTATTGAAAGATCTAGAGACTACGGAGTACTACTGAGCCCGTGAGCCACGCCTAGATAACCACCTTTTGCGTGGGAGTATCAGTATGCATGCCATCAGAGATAGTTTACTATCTCTGATTCCATAAACAATGGCTACAAGTACAAGCCCTAGTTCTTCCTCTGCTCCTTTTATAAACGTTTGCAATAAAGAACTAAGTGAGTTTGTGGGTATATTTGACTTTCAGTGAATTTTACATGGAACTTTTAAATTCCTTTTGAATTTCTAAGAGTGATTTTTTTGGCTTTAATGATAGGTATCAAAGATTTCTATCCTGTTTATGATAAAGTCAAGCCACTCTCTAGTCGTTGGAAATCCATAGCTATTTCCTTTCGCCTTAGAATAGACACTATCAGAACCATAAAAGCTAATTATCCTGGAGATGCTGTCTCTTGTTTGCAGGAGGTTCTAGAGTGTTGGTTGAAGAAAGATTATGATGACTACCAGACTAATGGTATTCCTTGTTGGAGGAGAGTGTGTGTAGCTGTTAAAGAAGGAGGAGGTGATCCAGCATTAGCTGATGAAATAGCTTGTGAACATCCTCTACCAGCTATGCCACCTGCAGGATCAACTAGTTCAATAGGTACATATATTGGTTGAGTGTTGTCATCAATAGTGTCACTGTCAGTGTATCAGTATCTATGATAATACATTATGTGTTAGTGTAGGTTGGGTTGGGTAGTTAATCTTGCTAGCCAGACCATTTCCCAGCCTACAGTCATTGGGATGGATGGTAGGGAAGGGTCTGATACAATGGCCTAAGATGTCTTGTCCTGCATGTGTCCAGAATTGTACGTAGCCAATCAGATTCAGTTCTCCTTGACACATGACTACAAGTCACATTGAAAACTGATCATCAAAATGGCAAATTTTGAGCTGAAAAAAGCTATAGAATGATAGTATCAAGCATCTCTTTGATCCTAAAGAAGTATCTTAGGGAAATGCATCTAGGTGATATACAACTGGATGCCATAAAACATACATTTTTGTTGAATTTTATTATTGTTTCATATAGATAGTATTTTTGTCATTAAATTGCACCTTTCCCTTTCTTTTTCTACTTATTGTTATGTATAATTATTAATAAAACATTTTGAATAAGCAAAAACATATAAAACAGAATGATAATGACAAATTTGTAATACACTGACTGTATCTTGACCTTTGGAAATCATAGATTAGCATATTATACCTGTATCAGGACTTACATTGTTGATGCACTCTAACACATTGCATTTACTGCTTTAAGCTGATCTTTTGGGTATGTAAGTATGGCAAAGGAATCTAATGTTCCAATACTTTCTTTTTTCCCTTTCCGTCCTCCAGAATACAATTTGAGAGTCAATTGGGCTTGTTTAAGTTGGATCAATGTTGTTGCTGCATTATACACACATGGAAACACGTGTGTTGGGCACAGTCTTTTACATGTGACATCTTCATGACATCACTATCCACGTGACGTGGGTGCTGTTGGAACAAAATTACTTTATACAATGTACCCTTCCCTGCCATCCACTCCAATGACTGTTATCCAAACGACCACCCTGATGTTGACCTAAATGACCCAACCAAATGGTTGAGTAGCCAAAATTAATGATCCCCTTTTCTGGTATTAAAATAATTGCTTGCATAGTAAAAGCCACACTACTGATATAGTACATGAATATCATTATCAAGCAATGAAATCATTACATACAAATCCCAGTCTAAGTAGTAAATACCTTCACTCATTTGCTTTTTGGCTGTATAAAAATTTGAAAATGCAATATGAGATTTCACACAATAAATTTCCTAGCATATTGTCCCACATAACCAGCACATAATTTGTTTTTGTATTTTTTAAAATTTAATTTATAACTATTTTCTATTTTTTCAGAAAATAGTGCCACTCCTGAAACAGATGAGGTAGCTATGTCACCAGCAAGCACTGACAGATCAACAGGTATTTATCATTCAATCCTTCACTATAATAGAAAAATAGCTTATACAATAATATTATATGAGCTATTTTATAGCTATTAAATTTTTTGTAGCTATTTTTAGCTATAAAAATTGTAAACTATTTTTATAGCTATTTTTGTAGCTATTTTATAGCTCATAGAATAACTCGGGTAATAACATTGCATCCTTTTAATGCACACATCAAACACATTACTAAATTTAATAATGTTAACTATTCATCACACCAATAACCTTTTCATGTTGTAATAATGAAATTTTCTTTTATACAGTTTATATTCATCGTCCTGAAATAAACCATCCATTGGCAAAGAAGATATATGAGTTACAGGATGTGTTTGCTGATGCATTACAACTGACAATGGAATCCTTCCTCAAAAAGCCAGCACTTCTTTCTAAAATCTTGAACTATCTTACAATGCATGTTCATGCTCTGTTGGGCCCTATCAGAAAAAATAATCCAGCTGCAGTACAAGCAGTTAGAGAAGAATTCAGTGACATTAAAACAATGACTGATCTTTTTGTCATTTTGCAAGATAAGTATGTATCATGGTTCAACTATGAACTGATAATTAAACTTGTTCGTGTGTTCTTGAGTGACAATCGTACATTAAAGAGAACCTGGTCAGCATATGAAGAGAAGTTAAAGGATTATTTTATAAACAGTGGT